AGTTTGTGTCACTTCCCTTTCTGAACAAAAAAATCTGGAGCACAGGATTCGGCGGAGGCGCCGGTGGCAAGCGGAGGCACCACCGGCGTCTTTGCTTGGTTCTATGCTCCAGATTTTTCCGCTCGGAAAGGGGTGTGGCACGACCTTTGATCACATTTTTAGTGGGGAAATAGACGTCACACGAGCATAATTTTCAGATTTCTGGGTTGCTAAGATCCCATAGAATCAGTTATCACCAAAGAAATATAACATCTGGCAAATGTTTTCTGCGATGTTAGTGCAATGTGGTAACATTCCAGTAATATAGAATTTTTGGATATTAGCCACATGTATGCAATATTAATCACGTTGTAGTAACATTGAAGAAAGTAACATATTGCGAACATTTGCTATTGACTTTAGTACAATGTTTTCAGGTAAGATTCTAGAAATATGGAATTTTCGGACGTCGGCCACATGTGTGTAAGATTAGCAGGTCACATTCCAGAAACGTTGCCTAGCATTCTGTACTACTAGGGCGACGTGTCGCTGACGCATTGAGGCCCCCTCTTCCTGATAAAGTATGCCCCTTGCAGTTTGTGTGCCCTTTGATTCTTGCTACTACCTAGAATCTTGGTGTCACCGAAACGTGGCTCGCTTTTGCAGGCCCTGCAGTGCGTGCACAAATGTGCTTCTCAAAAGGTCGTACCTTGCCATTTGTTCCATTGTTAGGGGGGTTTCATACACGACCACGTGACGCATTCGATATACGGCCATGGTGTGCTTCGTGCCACATCCTCATTCGTTTTTGCTTTCACTGGCAATTCAAAGGCAAAGTTGGCCGAGTTTCTTTGGCGCTGAAAACACGAGAGGCACTCCTTACCTGTTCGCAACCTTCTTGAGGTTATGCGACATTTTGCGTACGTACGGTATGACCTCGGGCCTCATGTTGCTGTGTCGACTGCGCCACTTTCCTGGTTGTGCGGCCTTTTACTTTTTGTAGGATGGCCTCTGCCACATTCTGCCGACAATAGTCTAAACAATTGGTTGAATTAAAGCTGGCCTGCATACGGGTGAGCACACGAATTTCGCGCCCGCGCTTGCCTTTGTCCTTTTAGCACTTTTAAAGGCCGACGTACACTTCGCGGTTTCCACTTTCGCCAACATCCTCTTTTCCTAAGAGGATTATCTTCCCTGCAGAAAACCGAGGTTGTATGTCGGCCTTTAACCATGGTTCAAAACAGTCATCACCAACTAGGCCAGCAACAAGTAGTTTTCTGGGTAGTCGCTTCCCTCAACTTCACTAACTCTACCCTGCATGAAATTACTGAAGGCGAGACTGGTTAGTAAGGCCATGAACGTGTAGGAAAGATAAGACTTGCAGAATGTGGAGGTAGTTGGGCGGAGGTTGTCTGACTGGTTGCATAAATTGAGGAAACGACAAACCTTTTAATTTTAAGCGCCTCCGTCAAACGTTTCGCGTTTACGCTGCATTGTTGAAGCAAACCACCGCCTAACAAAAATAAAAAGTGGTTTATATTAGGTATGCTGCAAACTTTTTTCGAATCGAAGTTTCGATGATCGAATCAAGCGGTTCGAAAGGTTTGAAAGATTTCGATTTTTCGAATTGTCTATATCGTAAAATTCGACGGAAGTCGAATTTTCGAACTTGTTAAGCTAAGAAGTTCGACGCTTTTCGAACCGTCGAACTTATTACGCTAGAAAATTCGATCTTTTTCGAACTTTCGAACTTATTGCGCTGCAAAGTTCGATGCTTGTCGAACTTCCGAACTTGACTGACCAAAAAATTCGATGAATTTGGAACTTTCGAACTTATTTATCAAGAGAATTCGAAAAGTTTCGAACTTTTGAATCCTGAAAAGTCAGAAGTTCGACGAACTTCGAACTTTTAGGGTAAAAGTTTGATGTTCGTCGAACTTTGAAAGATTGGCGGACAGTTTCATTTGATTTCAAGTAGTAAGGTACATTCGTATTGTTTTTTCTAGAAACTTTTACACGCGGTGCTGCTTTCCTTACGAAAGACAATGCCGTTTATTTCAATGTTCTGGCATGCTTAGTTTTAAAGAAATAAATTCCCGAAGGGGCGAGGAAGGACAACGGGTTTTTGACGATTATCGTTTGTGCAAGATTTGAAGCGCACTGTAGCCGAAGCTATTTATGGTAGAGATGTTATACCTTTTAAGAATGATATATGTATAGCCTAGGTAAGTGCCCTAAACTTGATATTTATTTTCGTCTAAGTTGTTTGAGGTATCGCATTTAAATTAACACCATAGAGAGTACATATCATTGCCTACTGCAGAATACAAAATAATATATTTATTGTTTTTTCACGTTAAGGAATAAATTAACTCATCGGAGAAGATTTCTAATTGTGTTCAAGTTCAGCACGTCATTAAAAGAAAACTTTTTTTTTTTTTCGCTTCACGTTCCTGGGACGTGTTTCTTTTAGCCTGTGCACATTTTGGTAAAAGAAACTTGTTTCGAAGTTCTGAACCTCTGAATATGCAAGAATTCAACACTTCTGGCGAACTCTTGATATTTTTTTTTTCTCTCCAGCTTTTTATCTCTGCATTTATTCTTTTTTTTTTTTCTTAATTATTGGCAGAGGTATTTAGGTTGAAAAGACATAGCTTTGAACTTCCGAACCACTAAGCATGTGACGAGGAGTGCCTCCTGACAACAAGTTTCTAACAATGACCATCTACGTGATCTTTTATGCAGTGAAGAGCGAAAGTAGCTATACATATGCATAAATAATTTCAGATTAAAATAAGCTCGACCACGCCCTCTTTCCCCGTATTGTTTTCTTTAACAGTCCGAAATATCTGGAAGGGGGGGAAGGGGCTGAACCCTCCCCCCCCCCCCACTACTCTCTTTCCCCCGTTTTTCCTCTTCCGACGCCACTTGTATGGTAGAACGCTCCTCGACCTAGAGTTGTGTCGGCTTTTTGCGAGGCGATTCCTCCGTCCCAGAAAATAAACCTCCAGGACAATTACAAACTTAACTTCCTATATGCCAGCGTCACTCGGGGTGCGTTCGATCGGATTACTACCAGCGTGCAAGGGGTGGCGAGGTTGTTTGCCAGGTCGCTTCAATGTTTTTCTGAGTCTCAACCTCCTGCCCGCCCCTGGCCATTTCGAACTGGATGAGTCTCGGAAAACAGTGTGTTCGTGTGATCACTACTGCGTGATGCAGGCTTGGGCGGGAAGCATTTTGGGTTGAATTCACGGATACTTCTGGCTATCAGATTTATTTGTTTTGTTCCAAAATGAACGCCGGAAAACGGTAAAGTTGTACGGACCACCTCCGGACTACGTTCAGCGCGTCTTCAAGTTCAAACGGTCGCCTGATCGTTCGAACTGTCGTCTGCTTTTTGAAACGTTTCTGATTGTCGTCTGCTCTTTTAGAGGACACCGGCCCGTAGACCAAATGTGGGCCCGGTACTTGCGATAAGAAGTAAGTGCAGCCCTCAAAAGACTTAAGTTTGAAGGTTGGTAAGCAGGCTCGACGTAAACAGTGGATACAAGGAGATGTTGACCATTGTTACCAGTGGCCATCACCGACTTGTTATGCCTGATTCACTTGGTTAGATTCTGCTTGCGATTTTCAGTATCGACGTCGACCATCTCAGCTACGGTTCACACTTTTGCAGTCCGAGCGACGTCGCTACTGGAAATTGCGAGCGAAATCTCATAATGTGAATCAGGCTTTAGCGTACATTCTGCGGCGTCCACGCGGAATGAATCGCCGCATGTCGGATTGTTCACGCGAAGTTTTGCGGTGTAACGAGCCTCGTTAATTTCGCTGACGCCGCTCAAGTAGTCAGACGTACATCGTTAGGAGGACGTAGAATCAACAATTCCAACGCGAAAAAGAGTGCGGGGACCAGGGTGTAAGATACAGGTGGGGAAACGACCCATAGAAGCCTACCGCAGCGCCGTGACCGGATTGTGTACTCGTCTGCTTGCAAGTACCGCCGATTTGCGACAGATGGCGCTGCGGCGAGAAGAAAAAAATCGGAATCGGATTTGCATGGAACTCTATGGGGGAGTGCGCAAAACAAACCGAGATTACGACAGTCCTCCACTGAAAATCCACGAGAAACCATTTCCGTCAGTTTAGTTGGTCGCCACCGGTCACCCACCCGGTGTGAGAGTTCGCGGTGCTCCACATAGATGGCACCACAGAAAAAGAGAAAACCGAGGGGGACACAATGCGGTTGCTCATTTGGTTCTCGTTTCCCCACCTGTCTATCTTACACCCTGGCGGGGACTCACACCGACGCCGACAACATCGCATTTCAATGGTTTGTTTAAGGGGTATTCACACGAGGGAGAAATCCCGGAGATTTCTCCCCGGCAACCGCATCGCACGACGAAAACGTCAGGCTTTGCGATGTGCAAAAGCCTCGCGTTTTCGTCTCGTGATGCTCGCGTGCCAGGGAGAAATCCCCGGGATTTCTCCCTCGTGTGAATACCCCTTTATGGGTGACTGCGAGCTTCTTGCCCACACCCCCATGGCGCATGCGCGGCGCCGGTGGCGCCCGCTAGGGGCGCTCCGGTTTGTTTGTAAACATTGAGTTGGTGTATAAAAATTCGAAGTTTTCGAATTTTATTTCCAAAGAATTTCGAAATCTTCGAATTTATCGAACCTGAAGTAAAAAAAAAATATTCGAAATATTCGAATCCGAAATTTTAGAAACCGTGAAAGCTTCCTCGAATTCGAAACTCCACTGTGATCGAAAGTTGCGAAGTTTTTGAATTCGAACGTCGGTTGGTACGAAAATATCGAAATTTTTCGAAATCGAACCTCAGTTCGCTTCGAAAATATCGAAACCTTTCGAAATTGAACCTAGGGTGGTTCGCGACATCCCTAGTTTATATATTTATTTATATAGAGTAGGTGGCGCGAGTCGCCACCCGATTCAGAGGCTTAAGCTTCTGCCTTGTTCATTGATCCATCACTGATTTAGGATTGCAAATCACAAGTTTGCGGTAGCGGCGGTAGCGGTTTGTTCGTATGTGAAAGTGAGGTAGGTGTTGCGTTTAGCCTTCACGGACTTGTTGACTTCCTATTCAACAAACAGGTACTGTTGTCAAGGCTGAATCGTTTGGTGCGTTGGGCGATAGCATTGAAATAAACTTCACAAGGACCTGCTCACGGCCTTGACTTCATGTGACGGACTGCTACCATGGCCACTTTTCGCGGAGAGGCACTCACTTGATCGAATGACGTTTTAGCGAACGCCCACGTTTCACCGAATGGCACTTTAGCGAATAGTCGGACGCCGCGAAGCGGCGTTTTCGGGTGGCCCAAATGGGTTCACATTTTTGTAATGAGCCGCCGCAGACTGTCGCCGCGAAGCGGCGTAAAGCGCAGCGCCGCGGATGGGTTAACGCGCGCCCCGGTTATTCGCTAAAACGACCATTCGCTCAAATGTCGCTGTTCGCTAAAATGTCATTCGCTCATGTGATATGGACCCAAATTTATTAAAGGAGAGAACAGGCTCGCAGGTAAATGGGTAACGGATTTGGCGGAGGCGCTGGGTTTTGCTGGCGAAAATAGAATAAAGGGGAAAATTAGTCACAAAGAGGAGGTTGCAATATTGGCGGAAATATCTAACAAAAATTGAATGAAGTAAACATAACTAGCACAGCTGGGGACAGGAAAATCGGGGCTCCCTCCCGCGTGGCACCGGCCTAAAGTCTCAACCCCGTATCCCAGTGTCTTTTCCCCTGCTGGCATGAGACCTGATACAGCGATGCGGATTCAGCGTCTTCCAAAGTATGTCACTGGTTTCTGCAAATACTTCCTCAATTTCCTTCAATAATTGGGAAAAAAAGAAAAAAATACTATTAATGAAAAAACGGTTAAAGTACAGACAAGCTGGTGGATATTTACCATGATGGAACTTAACCCGAGACTGGGGTAGAAACAGACTTAAAGGGGTAGGGAAACGAAATTTCAGCGCTCATTTTCTAGCTTTAATGTGTTGCATGTTGCACCCTAACCTCAAAAACACCAGTCTTCCGTTGAAAAGCACCAGAAAACTAATTTTAAAGTAAATAAACAATCTTTCAATGTGCACCTGGTGGATGCATGCGGAGCCTATTTGGGAGGTAGTCAGAAACGTTGCGGAAACGGCTACGTAGTCGTGACGTAGCAGATTCCTTCGGAGCAGCACCGCCCTTTGGCATTTCAACGTTTTCCTTCTTAGCTTTCCTCCTGAACTCACAAATCGCGCATTGTACCAAACGGTCCAAGAAGACGGAAAGGAAGGACTCCCTTCTTTCTCGGAGCCTCGTTCATGCAACCGGAAACAGCCCCAAGCAGCACGGATTTTGGCCAAGGAATGGCCAGTGTCTGGCGATGGTCTTTTGGCCAGTGGCCAGAGAGTGGCCATTCATCGGCCAATGCTTGGCCGATGGCTGATGGCCAGATAAAGGCCAGTCACCGGCCAGTCTCTAGCCACTGTCTGGCCTCTTGGCCAAGGACCATTGCCAGCCATTAGTCAATGATTGGCCAATTCTGTGCTACTTGGGGCCATTCTCCCCCTAGAAGATTAGCCCGTCGCTCAAAACTCGAACAAAAGTTGCTTTCCACACCCCGTTCAGCCCTAAGCTGACAGTGTTGTGGAAGCTACGTGCTCCTTGGGCCAGCCACAGGCTCGTCACCCCACAGGTACTTTGAGCGGCTAGGTTGTAACGCGCTGATGCTATTGACACCACCACAACGCTGACAACGCCACCAAGGGCAAAGCTCATAACCACGCCTGCCTTGCTACTCCAGGAACGCGGGAAATCTTTCTGTTTTTGTTTGCGCCGGACAAACCATGACGCATCGCGATCTCCGCTCGCTTCTCTTCGAGCGCTTGCTCGAGTGCACCGTTTGGAACGAAAAATATAGCCAATTGTTCAAAATACAAACGTGTGATTATGATTTACGGTTATTATCCGTCATGCTTGACTCATTTCCGAACGAAATTTGAATATTTCAATTTATGTTTCCGTACCCCTTTAAAAGTAGAAGGGAAAGAGACAAGTGAAGAAGAGAACGTCTCAAACGCAGCTAAAAGATTTATTTAGTCCCACATCCTTATATACTCACAACCACAAGGTCACCCAAACACAGAACAGAAAACACACCTTCCATCAAAATGTTGCGATTCTGCCGCATAATCGCCAGGCAAAAATTAGAATATTCCTCGACCTGTAGTTGTGTGCAGCGGCCATGAGAAACACGCGGCATGACGTCAATGGGGGTCTTGTAGGAAAATAGCAACTTGTGCGAATACCTGCTCGATAATAGGTAACTTTTCTATAAATCTTGTCGTTCCAACATAAATATAAATGCGTCAAAAACCTGGTATCGTCGACAAAACTTTTATTATATGGAGTTTTAGTGGCGCCATCTATCCTAGGTCCACAAAACCATCAGCTCTATCTGCTACCGCGAACAGCGGAACAGCCGCCAGAAGCCGGAGGGGGAGGGGGCAGGGCCGGACGAGTATGGCCGGACCCGGATGAGACTTTCCTCCTTTCACCATATTGTTTGCACTGCGCCCGCCAGCATGTGGTCACGCAATCGCGAGCGGATGAGTTCGTGCTGCTCACTGATGGCTCTAGAAAGAGACCATCACCGGAACCCCGCGCCACCCCCTTTGACGTCACGGCGCACGTGACTCGGAAGCTGGGGAAGGAGTTGAGAGGTGCCGAAAACCTCAATCTTTGTCCATTTTTAAAATAAAAACTAGGACATGCAGGCGAAAGCGGTTTTTTGTTCTTTACTTCAGAAAGGTCGAGACAGCAATTCCCAAATTATTTAAGCAAAGCACTGAAACTGTTGCACAGCTCCTTTAAGTGCTGTTCGAAAGGGTTAAGCAGAAGTCACGCTTATTCTGACATGGTTCCATCGGCCGCTCGCCGACGATTTGTTTTAACACAAAGCGCGAGCGAGACAAACGTGCTACAGGAGTCAGCAGCCTCAGGGGTTTCCCCAGGAATTGAAATTAGGGGGGTGTAAATTTTTAGGGGAGGGGGGGGGGGTTAGGGGCGAGGGGCATTGAGAATAGAGGAGTCGTTGCGAATTAAGGGGGTACCTTCAGAAAAACAAAGGGGGGGTGTACACCGCCCTAGGGTGTGTGTGGGGAAATCACTGAGCAGCCTGCTTTCTTATGTATGTTTATGCCTGCGCAATACAGGTGCGCAATCTTCTCAAGTTTGCTGAAGTTGCACTGTCTCGAATGTTGCGATGGTGATTTAAAATACATTTTAGTTTAAATCACATTCTTCAGTGGTGGCATATTATTTGTTATGAAGAAAGTTTTATGGAATCTGAGTACACACGTAATTAGCAAATTTAATGCGCAAAAAAAAGTACAGCGAAAGTGGCTATAGTAATTTCAGCTACAAACTTCCAGAAGCAAGACATTCTTTACTAAAGGACGGCATTTGCTCGATAGGACGGCATTTGAATGCGGGCGTAAAGGGCCGTCGGACGCTGAACGCTCCGCAAGGGTGCCATCCGACGGCACGTCCGACGGCTCTTGACGCTGAAAAAAAGAATTATTTTCGGGAACGAACTGTTAGCCACAGGGAACGTCGGGGGACACATTAATTAGCAAAGTAATTACCTAAGATTTACTAATTATCTTTTTAAGTAGTGAAAAAAAAGTTGCTGACTAGAAACTTGCTGAGCATCATTGGAATCTAAATTGGTCTATTTCAGGAAGACAGCATTTGCAAAGTGTGGGGCGGCACTATAGCTTCCATTTGTACAGCAGGCAGAAAGCTAGCAATGCCAAAATGTGGATGATAACAAGATCATTCGTTTTCGCACCGCCGGCCTCCTTCTGCCTGCTGCACGAGTGAAAACTTTAGCACACCCTCATGCTTTACACATGGTTTCAGTTTTCCTGAATTCGTCTAATTTTGGGGATTTTGGTGACGCTCAGCAAGCTTCCAATTCATGCGATATGTTTATTTTTACTACTTTGAAAGTTATTAAGGAAGGTTTAGGTCATTATTTTGCTAAATACTGCATTTTTGTAATCCCTGACATCCGTCGTGGCTGGCAGTTTGTTTCTCAAAGGAGTTTCTTGTTTTCTTAATCATCCGTTTTGGGGGAATGTTTGAAAGTATTTGCAGAAATGGCCGGTATATAAATGCTTCTTTATCTAAACCATTAAGCAACACTCGAAACATTTTGTGTAAAGAGGAACATGGCGGCTTTTCTGGATGGGTGGATCTGAGGGCACTGCTGTTCAATCAGATTTATTCATAAAGCTAAAGCCTGAGACAAATTTTACAAAAATATAAAGAAAACTAATGGGTTCCAGCGGCAAAGTTATCTCAGATTTTACCTTTTGTGAGTCGCAACCTCTTTACTGTTTGGACATTTAGTGCACTGGCAATGTGGCAGCAAAAAAAAGAAACAGATTTTGTTAACATACCTTCCAACTTTATGTCAGGCAACTCAAGCTACCACCTATTGCTATAGGCATACAAGCATTCCATTTCCTTATCAATCCGTCATTGTTATCTCAAGATGGACATATTCTTGGTGTGACTCCTGTTTGCTATTACCACAGCTGTCTAGCTAGCTTGATGCACTTGGAAGGTGTGTTCACTTTCTTCTTATTACTTTCATTGCTCTTTGCATTCGGTCCTAGTCATCTCAAGTGGTCCCCTGCATCCTTTGTGATCTTGCGAGCCTGCTTACGAGCCTGACCGCAGACAGCAATTCAAATGGAACCGATTCAGTCCTCAAGTTGTGGTAAGTCTTTCATTTCAACCTCTTTCATAAACAGAGGACATTGGCAATGACTAGGCTACAGGCAGTTATAGTCTAGAGCAAAGCTTCTTCAGCATTTCACGGACTCCTAGGGGTTTGTGCTGATTTGTTGATCCCCCACCAGGGACGTGTCCTCCGTGAAGCCCACGTGAAGGTGTGCATGGTGATGTGGGTTGGGCTTCGAGGGGAGGAAGGCAGGGAGCTTGATTGAATTTTTAGAGAAGTTCAGGGGAGCGGGGAAAGAGTAATGGGCAATGGAAATTTTGAGTTCCTATTGCTTGGGAAGATGAAGACAACCTAGAGGAAAAGGCTTTCTGCTTGGCTCTGGGCTAATATTGGGAACAAAAGAACAGGATAAAAAGTCAGCCATTGCATCCCAATTTTGTTTTTTTTCATAAAATGTGCCTCAAAATTTTGATAAAAATTTGTATTTTACTTTACCATTAGAGAAAACATATTATTCTCCAGATGTAGTTTGTTACTCATACAATATATTCCTGGCCATCGGATGTGTCCAATCAATAGTTCTTAAGCATGTTGTACTCTTGAAAACATTCAGGATGGTGGAGAGCAACGAACAATATCTGGAGGCTAAGTGAATATTTCCTTGAACTTTTATGCAAACTGCCAGTTTTAAATAAAGTGTTTGAGGCATTATTGAGGTAGTAGGACTCATCACAGAAAATGTTGGAGCGTTTGTTTCTTGCCAACAGAAGTTCCTGTGTTTTTCCATTGGCTAAAGACCTCCACATTAACGTTGTGTCATTTCTCTCCAAGGTTGCAAACGTCTGTCTTTTTTAAATTTTTTTTTTAGGGCGGTGGGGAAATGGAGTTTTTTCTTGGTGAGAAATATGAAACAAACAACAAAGACTTGTGAAGAAGGCTAAGCATTAGGGGTAGCACTGCAATCTGCTGGAGAGCGCACAAAACAAGCTCCCGAATCGAAACGTGTGCCAGACTCGTGGTCGGGCTTTCTCGTCTGTATTGGAGGGCACGGTTGAGACTCGTGGTTACTGGCCTACAATGCATAAAGGCTAAGATTAAGAAAATAAACTTTTAACAATTCAGAAACAAATAGGTTCTGAAATAAAGGTAATCGTGCAGGCTAGCTGGTTTACAGTCATACCTATAAGACACCAAGACAAGAAAAAAAAGGCAGAAGAAGATAAAAAAAGGACAACACGACGTCTCAAATTCGAGACATTGCCAAGTCTTTTTTTTTTTACCCCTGTCTAGGGGTATTTATATGTATGAAATTGGTTGCTGTCTGAGGCAAAGACAGGGTTATTGAGGACCATGACTTATAGGTTGAGATATGAGGAGACGGATGCAAATTGTATGCTGCGGGAACAGGCAAAGGTACTGAATAACAGGCTTAAGAACTCGCTACAAACACGGGTGTCATTGCTACTAATATTGTGCTTGCAGATCCTGGACAAAACCGCAGGATCGCGCTACTAACTCACATATTGCAAGAACGGATATTGCAGATTGTGGGCAAAGCAGATTTGCGTTTCACAGTGCGATAAGCATGCTGGGAACCACTGCAAACTCGCACACCAGAGGAATTGATATCGGACGGACAAAAATGGGGCAATGAGCTGCAAACTTGCATATCACGGGAATGGATGCCACGGATTGTGGACAGCAGATTCGTGTGTCGATGTGCGATAAAGACGAGAGAACCCGTTGTGAACATGCTTGTCACACTTACCGGTACTGGAGATTGCACTGCTGATTAGATACTTGTCAGACATTGCGTGATCGACATGCAGCAGGAATCGGTGGGTAAGGTTTGTGAATTTTGTTATGGATATTCAACCCAAAAGTCTGGATGGGCGAAGTCTCGGGGGCGGGCGTTCATATGCAGATTTGGTTGTAAAGGCTATCACTTTGAAGAAAACAGCATTTATGTTAAAAAATAAAGCCTAAACGAACGCAATAACTACGACTGCGTACGTTGTGATCGGAGTGATTGGAACGACGCTCTGCGCCGTGCGTACATACAGCTGCAACCACTGCAGCAAGCGCAGCGGGTCGTCAGCACGGCGACCACTTCTACACCGCCGTAAGCTGTTTCATCGATGCCTCTAAAAAGAAGGGGACGTGCTGCCACTCACTGGTGTAACAGAAAATAAACAGACAGTTTTCTATAGCCTCAAGCTTTCTTAATATTTTTTTAGGATAGGCTTGCAGGGTGGGGTGGATGAAAATAAAACAAAAGAAAAAGATGCAGTGCACCGTCTTGGACGATCACGACTTTAATACACGACTTTGCCAGTACTACAAATCTCGCCACCACGTGCCATTTCTATGATTACAAAAGACAATGTATTCTTAGCAGTGATAAAGCAACATAGAAAAATGATTTTGTGATCACTTACATGTTGCGAGCATTCAGGATTGCTAACACTAATCACTTTTCTTGGGTAATGAAAACGCATGAAAATTCTCATCCTTCATACTGTAGGCACCAGTAATACCTTGAACTTGAGCACACACATCAAATGCGAAAAAGAAGAAATCCAGGTGATGTTCGGGTACACAAATGCTAAGAAAGCACCACTGTAGTCAAAGTAAACAAACACGACGGCACGGGCGTCTTTGCTGTCTTGAGAGAGCCGCCACGACATCACCGCACAAGTAGATGGATCTTCCCTTCTAATACATGCTCGGTTATCACACCGACACACAACGAGAATTCACAGTCAAGCATAGCGCTTTTACACAGAGCGATGAGCTTCCACCATGTCGACCACGTCAACGATCAGCGCCGAAGCTATGTTTGCAGATAGAAGGAACCTCGACCGACACGACCAACATGCAACACGCGTGGCCAAGCTTTCCTCGACCTGTGATTGGTCTGTCGGTGTGGTTCGCTCTCTTGGTTCCCGAACGTAGCGAAAACGTTCAGCCCCGCTCAGCTTCTTGCGTTGTGAACGAAGACAAACGAAACGGCCCTTCGGCACTTTGTTGCTATGGCAACTCGTTACAACCGGTTGCATTTGTTCGTAAGCGTAGTGGTCGCTCCGAACGCAAGTGTGTGAACGGGCCTTAAGTCTTAAAGGGACACTGACAGCGTATTTATGCTCGACATGGTTTTTATTTGTGCATGACATTGGAGCCCAACTACCCAGAACGCAATTTTCTTCTCGAAATTTTTTTTTTCTGTCCGAAAATTGTTGATTGAGAATTGGCCGGTTCGAGCCGCGCTCACTCTCTTCTCCATGGTCACGTGCCATTTTCAATGGTTGAGACACAACCACCAAGGATAATCAAAGTCGTGGGCCATTGAAGGCACACACTCAATGCTAGAAATGGACAAAAAATGTAATACCCATTTTTTGTGACTTTTAAAAAGCTGCAAATATGTTGATTTAAAAAGAAAAAAAGTTGCACTATGCGATTTTCAGTATTTTTTCTTCTATATTTCTTCCTCCCTAGTCCGGTTTTGGTTTCGAGCAGTTGCTTTTTTTTACTTTATTGAAAATAGATGAGTAGTGAAATATTGATTAGGTTGCCTTCTGACGCCATAATCAGTGTCGGGGACAGCTCGCCTGTGCCATCACAATCTTACCATAATAAATCGCCTCACAAAAGTGAAAAATGTTTTCTAAACAGCCTGAATGGGACACACAAATAAAAATAATTAATTTTATGCGGAAAAAAAATTTTAGAACAATATTGACGGCACGAGACGCGATTTAGTTGGTAATCACCTTTTCGCTTGTTTTCTCTTTTGCCATTTTGGGTGCTTGGAGGAAAGGTGGATCGGCTTGGCCATCACGTTGAGGTGATAAGAGTGTAGACCATTCTGAGACGTCATGAACTTTCCACGCAGAATTTAAAATAAATCTCACGCTGTCACTATTGCTCTAAAAAACGTTTTTCGCATAAAATTTATTTTTTGACATCTAATGTGCCACCCACTCTTTAAAAAAAAATTTTTTTTTCAGTGGCCCTTTAAGGAGGTTTATGTGGTTTCACACTAATAAAACACTTAATAGAGCCAGCTCCTCTTCAGTACTTCCTTAAGCAGAACTAAGAAAGCAAAAAGAAATTAAACCACTCAGCTGCTTATTTCTAAAACATCTGACAATGTCGGTTGTGCTTTTCTTTTGTGTACTAATACACATGAAGCCTTGTAGGTGAGGGAGCTTCACTTTTGGGAGAGATGAGCTGCCCACTGAAAGCCACCGAGGACATCTGGTTTGGATGCTGTTCCTGCACTTATGTCACCAGAGATAATCGTGGGATTGTGAGCCACCTGGTTGTCCATGGTGATGAACAATTCAAGTCCCAGCATCCTTCCATGTTTGGATCGGAGTCTAAAGCGCCCAGCAAAACTCAAGAGCACAAGGGTGATAAGTTGTTCAAGTGCAAGCTGTGCCCCCTAGTTTTTGAGCACAATTCCACTCTGACAAGCCATAATCTAACACACACTAGTGAAAAGCCTTATAAGTGCAAGCTGTGTCCTAAAGCCTTTGCTAAGAATTGCCTCCTGATCACTCATAATCGAGTACACACAGGTGAAAAGCCATTTAAGTGTGAGCTGTGCCCCCAAGCCTTTGCTTACAAAACCAGTTTGTCTCATCACAGTCAAAAGCACACAGGTGAAAAGCCATTTAAATGCAACCTTTGCCCCCGAGCCTTTGCTCGGAAGTCTCATCTCCAGAGTCATATTATAATACACTCCGGTGAAAAGGCATTTAAGTGCAAGCTGTGCCCCCAAGCCTTTTCTCACAAGAGTGGCCTAAATCATCACATTAGAACACACACAGGTGAAAAGCCATTTAAGTGCAAGCTTTGCCCCCGAGCCTTTACTCAAAGTTCTCAACTCAGGAGTCATAATATAGCACACTCTGGTGAAAAGCCATATAAATGCCAGCTGTGCCCCCAAGCCTTTGGTTACAATAGTGGTCTGTCTCATCACAGTAAAACACACAGGTGAAAGGTCATTTAAGTGCAACTTTGCTCCCGAGCCTCTTCTCGGAATTCTTGTCTCAGGAATCGCAATATTATACACTGATGAAAAGCCATTTAAGTGCAAGCTGTACTTCCATGGCTTTGCCCACAATAGCAGTCTGCTTTGCCACAACTGAACCCACACATGGAAAAAGCCATTCAAGTGCATGCTCCACTCCCAAGTGTTTGCTCATAATTCCCTTCTGACCCTCCATAATCACTCACTGGTGAAAAACCTCACAAGTGCAAGATGTGCCCCCAAGCCTTTGCTCACACTTAGTCTGCTCTGCCACAAAACACAGAGGAGAAAAAAACATAAGGGCAAGCTATTCCCCCAAGCTTTCCTGGGAAAATTCATCTGTCCAGTCATTATCGAACAAACACTGGTGAAAAGGGGGGATCGGTGGCCGAGTGGGCTGAAGCGCAGACCCAGCTCGACGCGCGTGGAGCGAAAGCTCGCGCTACAGATCCCAGGGGTCCTGGGTTCGAGCCCCACCCCTGCCCGTTTCGATCTGGATGAGCATCGTACCGGCGTGCGGTCGTGTATCACTACTGCGTGGTGCACATTAAAGACGCCAGGCTAGCGGTTGTACTGCACTGGCAAAATTGCTCATCTACAGTGTAAACCATTATCGCCCCTACTGGCAGACCAACCTTACGCTGTATAAATCACTAAAACGTCCAATTTGACTTTTGACTGGTGAAAAGCGATTTAAGTGCAAGCTTTGCTCCAAAGTGCTGGCTTTCCCTTCCGACCTTCGATAATCGAGAGCACACGGGTGACACACCTTATAAATGCAAGCTGTGCCCTCGAGGCTTTGCTAATGATTTCCTACTGACCAAGCATAATATAAAACACGCAGGAAAAAAGCCATTCCAGTGCAAGATGTGATTCCAGAGTCTTTATTTGGGAATCACATCTGAGAGATCATAACTAAAGACACAGTGAAAAGGTATTTAAGTGCAAGGTTTGCCCACAGGACTTTTCTCAGAATAGATTTCTGATTTACTACAGTCGAACACACACTGGCAAAAAAACCATATAAATGGAAGCTGTGCCCCCGATCCCTTGTTCAGAATAGATATCTGACCGACTACAATTAAACACACACAGATGATACAGTGAAACCCGTTTAGAACAAACCCACGTACAGCAAACTATTGTCGATATCGAACTCACAGAAAATTTAAATAAAAATGCATGTACAGTCGAATCTCGTTAATTCAAACTCGAGGGGGACTGAAAATTTGTTTGAATAAAGCAAAGTTTGAATTACCAGGAGTTTCCTCCCATACAGACGCATAGGATGGGACCTGCATGTTAGTTTGAATTATCCGCAAGTTTGAATTAAGAGAGTTTGAATTAATGAGAGTCGACTGTAAAAAGTACTTTTTATAACAAACAATATATTGGCTATATCAAACATTTTTCCCCCGTGAAGGCTTCCGAAATTGTGCAAACAATCTTCTTCTAACCTGTCCCTTCCACCCCCCCCCCCCCCAAAAAAAAAAAAAAAATCTAGGAAAGAAGGAAAGTTCTAAAAGCTCAAGCCGAGAACAAAATTGACAAAGAGAAGGGATTCAGAAGGGGAGAGAGCTAAAAAAACACTGCATGCATGCACAAAAAAAAGAACAAAAACTTCATCCCAAAGCGGTTGCCTACGAAGAGAAGTGATTCAGAAGGGGAGATAAGCTAAAAAAAAAAACTCTGCACGCGTGCAAAAAAACAAACAAAAACGTTTTAGCGTTTTGTTTCAAGATGGAAGCGAAGAGATGAGAAAGAGAAGCTCTCGCCTTACAACGAACGCATCGTGCAAGTTCCTTGTAAGTGGTTTTTGCTATATCGAACTGATCGTAGCGTTTCCTGCTGTTCGTTGGAAACGGGCTTGACTGTAAGTCATACAAGTGCGAAATCTGTTCCCAAGCATTTTGTTCCCTTTTGAGCCACCAAAATTGAACACACAGTGTTGACAAACCTTATATGTGCAAGCTTTGATCCTGAGCCTTTGCACGGAATTCACATCTCAGAGGCCGTAATCGAACGCGGTGAAAGCCATTTAAATGCAAGCTCTGTCCTGAAGGTTTTGCCCACAATAGGAGTTTCACCCACCATAATCGAACTCACAGTGGTGAAATTCCTTACAAGTGCAAAGAATGCCCCGGAAACTGCTCAGAGTAAGAGTCTGATCCACCAGAATCAGATGCACATGTGCGGAATGCCTAATGGTTAGCTTATAAGTTAAGCTTGCCATGCTTTTGTATGTTTATATAATTCTTTCACTCGTGCAGTTTTGTATGCCATTTTATTCTAAATATACATAGTATGCCTGAGTGCATGCAATGCTCTAAACTCTAAAGCCTTTGCTTTATAAACAGTCTTTCCTGAACAGTTTTTTTTATAAACAGTCTTTCCTCATCAGGCATATGCCAACACATGAGGTTGACAAACCCTAAGTGCATTTGCAAAAAGGTACTGGCTGCAATAGACCTTTTGAGTGCCAGGAATATTCGAGGAGGTTCAGTCGGAATGCCCGTTTGCTAAGCCGTAAAGATTCTGCACACAGATCCAGACTCTTTGGCATTGCTCTTGAGCCTCTCGTGCAAATGCCACTTCTTGTCATCATACAAAGGTATTGGGGAGTAGAGAATAATTGCTTGCCAGCAGTAATCAAGAGGCAGGTCTTCCTAATGGTGAACCTTATTTCACTTTTTCTGAACAGCTAACTCTATGTTTTGCAGAATAATGCACACTGGATCATGCTTTTGCTGCTACTCTTAGATTATTTACACTTCTCTAAGGTATTGTTTGAGGTGTGGTCTAATATGTTTGTAAGAATGGTTTCATTGATTTTTTTTTAAATATTTATTCCTATATCTGTAGAATATGCAAACTTGAGTAACGGTTGATAGTGGAGCTTGTTGGTACATACTTGTATATAGATGATGTAAGGCAAGTCTTCGGCCTTATAGCTCCGTCGCAGGGACATGCTATGCGAGTAAGCAAGATCCTCAGGTCAGAGACTTGGCGACAACAACGTCTTCTCACAGATTTTCTACGTGCCAAGTGTCCCCACTACAATGTTTTTATTAACCACCTGACTATCGCAAGGCATTCAACAGAGACCATGTGGACAACACAGTATCTCCCATATTTCAAGGAGCACCTGGCAAGGAAGGACAAGGAACATCCAAAAATACAGGCCCTTCAAGTCATCGGAGATATCAGTATCTCAAATAAGGCGAGAAACATACTAGAACAAGGGCCGAAGTTTGCTCTACCACCACGGCTACAGCCCATTGACAAGGTTGCCTTGGTCAGAAACATCGCATCCAAGGCTCAAGATGAGAGCGCTTCAAGCATAATCAGTGAAGGGATTGACTGCATCGCAAGCCAAAGAAGCTCAGCAAAAGCAAATAGGAGCTTTGGTACCACAGTACATGAGCTAATCAGCAAAGATCTTAAGCTCTGTGTTTCTGATAAGGAAGGCGGATTTGTGGTCTTAGATTCAGACGCATACGAAGAAAAAGCTTCTGCTGCAATGGCTAAGAACTTCATTCATGTGGAAGAAAAAAGAAGCAAGAAGTCTAAACCAGCAGCCCTGAAGCTACTTGATAACAACGAGCTTAACAGCCTCAGCACAAAAATAAAGAAAACGAAGAAGGGACACCTGCAAGTTTTTTTCTCAGCAAAAACACATAAGGAAGGCATACCGTTTCGGGCCATTGTGTCGGAAAGAGGAACCTGGCAAGTCCATTTGTCGACGTTCCTGGCGAAACAGTTGTCCTTGATAGAATCTGACGATCCGTACAGAATTAAGAATTCGGAACATTTAATTGAATATCTTAAGAAGAATGGAGAAAGCGTCACATCTGGATTTTCCATCGATATCCAAGATATGTATTACTCAATCCCACACAGAAGACTCATGGCAATTCTCCGATCCACCATCGAGGAGCAGGGATCTACAGCGTTTCAGAATACTGCTGGACTAAGTGTGAGCAGCTTCTTGGAACTATTAGGTGTATATTTGACTTCCACTGTAGTAGACTTTCAAGATCAACAATATGTGCAAAAGAGTGGAGTATGTATTGGGTCTCGGGTAGCGCCGCAATTGTCTGACTTATTCCTGGGGGCATGCGGAAAGATCATCGCAAGTAATCTGACAGATACAAGGGTCACAGCCATCTTCCGATATGTGGACGATTTTTTAGTACTTTGTGCCACAGAAGGTGACGACCAGAGTGAAGAATGCAAGGATACTATTCTGCAAGTGTTTCAAGAAAGTTGCCCCGAATTGGTGTTCACACATGAATCACCTGTGGACAAAAATATCAAATTCCTAGACCTCGCGCTAATTTTCCAACAAGGGCACGTTTGCTGGAGGTACGAACCCCGGTCAGCAAAAGGGTTTCTGCCGTTTACCTCTGGCCACTCAAGAACTATTAAGAGAGGTATCGCCAGCACGGCGTTAGTTTCTGCCTTAAACAAATCATGTAAACACCAGATAGGGCAGAGCTTTGAAAAACAGATGTCACGATTACGGAATTCGGGATACCCAACAAGTATCTTGGTACCCGTTTGTGAGACCATCTGCAGAAACTTGAAGAGTGCAAAGTCGGGCAAAAAAGTAAACGAGGAAACCCGAAGGAAGATCGCTGTGCTACCATACGTTCACGGGATAACGCACAAATTGAAAAAGATCGCCGCGAGGAATGAGATCCAAGTAGTATGCTCCGCGCCTAACAAAGCGTACTCCATGTGCAGACGAGTTAACAACAGAACAGGCAAAGAAAAAACGTGCGACATTGCCCACAGAACACAATATGTACCATGCATGACAGGAGTGGTTTACAACATTCCCCTTTCATGCGGGAAGTGCTACATCGGCCAGACGGGCCGATGCATTAACGACAGAGCCCGCGAGCACGCAGCATCCCTTAAAGGAACGTCGGCAGGGCATCTTGCAGCTCATTGCAGGACTTGCCACTGCAGTGCAGCGTTCAAGGACATAACCATCCTAGCCAGTAATAACAATACTCATGCGCGCGAAATGCTCGAGGCGCTTGCTATCGAACAACAAGCGAGTGGGTGCGTCAGCACCCCGTCCATCACTATTCACAAAAAGGAGAGACAATATCTACGGTGCGTCACGGTCCAGAAAATGGCAGTATGAGCTTGTGGCGGGTGAATTTAAAATATTAGTTTAGGTTTAGGTAATGTGAAAATTTTGTAAACATACACATGCATTATTATATTAAAATAATAGGTTTTAATATGTAATAATTTTTGTTGGTGTCTGAAAACACGCAAGGAAAAAGAAGTTCCCACTAAATAATCGTTGGTATTCAGCTGTCTATTCTCTCCTGTCTCAATTTCTCTATATCTTCCCCTGGTTCAAGCTGTCAATTATATATACATGCAAACTTGACATAGTAAATGTATGACCAGAAAATAATTTTTTAAGAATTTTGACACTGTTGATTTTTCATCTCTTGTAGATTTTAATACCGAAGTAAATGGGAAGTTAATTTTTCCAAGATTTCTTTTGACATCCTGTACTATGCTAAAACGTCATTTTAGCAGTTATCTTCATGGGGGGCTAATTGCCAATTGTGCATGTGTGCTGCGGTGCTTTCTTCTGCTGATTGAGACATCGCTAGTTGAATCCTTGCAATGCCCGTCAGGTGGTGCTATTAATTGACATTGTACCCATGTTTTGATACTGTGTAATGCCCCTTCAGGACTGCACTGACGAAAGGTGCATAGAATTTGGAGCTAACATGTCCATACTCAATGTGTTTTTGCCTTCTCTGCACTGGCATTTTTGTAATCATCTGTAATCATGTATTGCTCTGTGTTCTTTTTCACAGTTGTTTCCATGTTGCCAATTTTTTTTTTTATCCTCGCCTGATGGATAAAAAAATAAAAAAGAATTGTTATTATTTTTTCTACAGGTTTACATGGGTCAGAGCAGTATGAGTGTCAATGAATCCAAACTGAGCTATGATTATGCTTGAGTTCCAGTGTTCTTCAAATTGTTGCTCAATGCATGCTTGTCTTTGCATTGTGTAATCCATTTGTAAACATACCTTAAATCATTGCTTTAATTTTTTCTTGCTCTTATCTGATTTGTTTTGAACAAAATCTACAGGTGATAAATATGTCAACAGACCACTGTTTTGCTGTTTGTC